GAACTACCAGAAGTACAAGTTGGTTCAAAGAGGCAGAGGAACTAGAGATCAAATTGCCAACATTCGCTGGAGAAAGGAAAGGAGTTCCAGAATAACATCTACTTCTGCTTCATTGACTATGCTAAAACCTTTGATTGTCTGCTGTACAACAAACTATGGCAAGTTCTTAAAGAGATGAGACTGCCAGACCACCTCCCTGCCTCATGAGAAACCTGTATGTGGTCAAGAAGCAACAGTTAGAGCCAGACATGAAACAACTGATTGGAGTACAAGACTATATATTGTCACCCTGGTTATTTAACTTATATGCAGAGTACATCATGCAAAATGCCGGACTGGAGTTAAGATTGCTGGGAGAAATATCAACACCCACAGATATGCAGACAGTACCACTGTAATGGCAGAAAGTGAAATGGAACTGAAGAGCGTTTTGACGAGGGTAAAAGAGGAAAGTGCAAAAGTTGGCTTGAAACTCAACATTAAAAAAACCAAGATCATGGCATCCAGTCCCATCACTTCTTGGCAAATAGAAGGGGAAGAAATGAAAGTAGTGACAGCTTTTATTTTCTTCGTTCCGAGATCACTGTAGACTGCAGCCATAAAATTAAAAGACACTTGCTTTTTGGAAGGAAAGCTTCCGCAAACCTAGGCCACATATTAAAAAGCAGAGACATTACCTTGCTGACAAAGGACTGTGTAGTCAAAGCTGTGGTTTTCTAAGTAGTAATGTATGGCTATGAGAGTTGGACCAAAAGGAAGGCTGAATGCTAAAGAATTAATGCTTTTGATCTGAGAGTTGCTTGGATTGCAAAGAGATGAAATCAGACAATCCTAAAGAAATCAAGCTTGAATGTTCTTTGGAAGGACAGATACTGAAGTTGAAGCTCAAATACTTTGGCCTTCTAATGAAAAGAGAGGACTCATTAGAAAAGACCCTGATGATGGGAAATATTGATGGCAAAATGAGAACAGGGTGGCAGAGGGTGAGATGGTTTGATAATGTCATTGATGCAATGAACATGAATTTGGGCAAACTATGGGAGACAATGGAGGACTGTGGAGCCTGGCTTGCTATGGTCCATGGAGTCACAAAGAGATAGACACAACTTAGCAAATGAGCAACAAAAACAATTAATATGTACTTACTCTATAATATACTTTAAATACATTTAATTTTGGGGAGAAAGGAATATTTGAGATAAAACTGTATTCCTTGAAATACATTTCTCACTAAATAGCATCCTTAAACTTAAAGCTTGTTGTCTACTGTAATCCTAAGGATGTTTAGATATTGAAATTGTTTAATTAATATGTAATTATTAAAATTCAGTTATATATACGTGTGTGTGTGTGTGCGCGCACGTGTGTGTGTATAAATGTATTTTTAAAGACTATGACTCTGTTTAAAGTACATGACATTCATAATCCGGAACTGTAGTTTTACAAACCTAAAGCAAATATTTGAATTGATCCTAGGTGAGGCATGCTTAATAAATGTGTTCTTAGAATTTGTTATATTGAATAATTTTCCTTTTTCTCCCATTTGTAGATCTGCCACCCCCGCCAGTGCCACCTCCAGCTATAAAATCTCCTACCGCCCAGTCCAAATCTCAAGTGGATATACGGCCTGTGATGTTGCCAAAGTTGTCCTCTATAGAACCAAGAACAGAAAGAGCAGTTGAAAGAAAAGGAATAGGCTATAAGGGAAAAGAAGGCTCTGATGGCTGTCAGCATTCTGATATGTGGACATGTTCAGGGGAGCGTAGAGAATTACAGGAACAGCAAAGTGATAGCAAGTTAAGAGGAAACAAACCAGCAAGACGAGATGGCACACCAGCAAAAACACATCTTCTCCCAGGTGAATTAATACATTGATTTTATTTCCAATATTTATGAATGGCTATGTTGTATGTTATCACATAGACACTAAAACATATTTCACACTGACATACAACTTTCTAGAGGAATTATGCATAGCACAATATCTTAAATCTTTAAATTATATAATAGTACAAAACACTATTCAATAGGAAAGAAATTCTTAAAACAATTGAAATCCCTTATAAATCCTAATTTTCTTTTAGATTACCTCTATGAGTTATCTGTAACACAAGTTCCTATTTTCCCGACTTGTTTAAAAGCAATCATATTCCTAGAAGCAAAAAAACAAGAAAACAAAGCACTAAAGCAGATTCAGCCCTTTGGTAACAATGTGTTAGGATAACAAAATGAGAGTTATTTATCATGCACCTAAGTGGATAATGAAGACAACAAATATTGAACAAGGAAATCATTGATAAGTCATGTTAAGCCAGCCTGTTTTTCTAGAGCAATCAGTAAGGTCTACAGCAAAAATCTCTACAGTCCTCAGTATGTTATCCTATATCCAGGCCAGCTCTTGATATCAGTTAACTTGAACATGAAACAACATAGTAGAAATTGAGTAAATTAGATAAATGAACACCAAAGCAAGAGGTACGTGACAATGGGTTAGGATGAAGAGAAGTCATTAGGAAGTTATTCCACTATTTTGTACTTTTGCTTTACAATTTATATATTAGTAGCAAAAAGCAGGTGGCAAAACTTGCTGCTGAATTTGAAAGCACTGTTAATGATTAATTTATTATCTTCTAAAACAATCTTTAAAATATTAGGGAAAAACTCTGTGCATTGATTAATGATTCATAGAATTGTTGAGTTAGAAACTTCACAATGTATATCTTTCTTAGTCCATGTATTTATGTCACTAATAAATCTTCACTTCATAAAACTAATCTTAACCAACATCCATCTAAATATCTGTTTGAATCACTGTATTTAAGATAAAATGACAGTTATGGAAGTCTGAAAACTAAGTAAGGTTTAGATTGACAACTATGCATTGTAAAATATGAGGCAGCACATATTTTTATTCAATAAATATTCATATTTTGAATTCAAATTCCATTCTCTAATACGAATAGCTGTTAGTAGCCAGCTATTGCAAATACTGAGATAAATAGGTTACTGATCTCAGATTATAAATATTCAGAAGTATAAATATATATTACTTAGGATACACACACACAGAAAGACAAACATTATTTCCCCTCACATTTTCTCTCTCTCCCTGACACACAAAGACAACCCATTTTCAGAGAAAAATATCACAGGGTCACTATGTTGATATTGTTTTTGCTATTGTGAATGAGGGGATAGGTGTGTATGATAAGGAATTGTCTACCTTATAGGGGTAGCGCTTGTTGCAGTGATGTAATCTCAAACTCCGATGTATGGCTCAGTCTTTTTTCACTGGTGACACACTGCTTTATCCCAGGGTGCAGTACTATATCATCTAGGCCACATTATGTCAAGAGCTCAATTGCCTCAAGTGCAAGAGGTCAACCAACAGAAATGCCTGGCATATCACAGAAAATTTACCAAACATGCTACAGAATTCAGCAGGATTCTGATCAACATGACCAAAATAAAATTGAGTATACCTCTATAACTCCGTAGATTAGAACAGAGCAACCAAACATGCTATTCTGTGGAGTCCTTGAAGCTATTTACACAGTTAGATAACAATGCACTGAATATGTTACCTAGTCAGGCAGTGAAACATCTACAGACAACTAAGTTCAAGCACAATTGTTTTTTTAAAAATATAGTCTGTAATGGCCATTTTTTTTTTGTTCCAAATTTATTCCCTCCTGGCCCCTTTGTACAGGTTGAACAAAGCAGAATTTGAAAACACATTGTGGGTACGTGAGCATTTTATATAAGGCATTACTAACATATGTACATATCTTTTTAGAGGATATTTTGCCATACTGTAGACCAACATTTCCAACATCTAATACCAGAGATCCCAGTTCCTCAAGCTCTATGTCATCTAGAGGATCAGGAAGTAGACAAAAGGCAGAGCAAGCAAATTTAAGTCGAAGGAATATTGCAGAAATGCAGGTATTTGGAACTTATGAGCAAGGAGAAGATGAAGATGATTTGCAGGTAATATGAGTTTCAGTAATTAGTAGAAATATGAAAATATTTGTGGAAACCTAAAAGTTTATCCTCCAAGCTGGACATTCTTTAATTGATAGTTTAAAGAATTATAGAGTTATAGTAGAAAAACTATAATTACAGTTGTACTGTAGCTTCATATTTAATCCCCAGTAAATCTATAAAATTTTGGACTTCTTTACAGGCTTTGCTTTTTATTATCAATATATGATATAAAGTCTGAAATGTATAATTATGTATCAAATAATCATAAAAAACAAGACATCGAAGACTTTTTAAATGTAAATATTATATTAAAGCCATAATTACGATGAAGTAATTATTGTACTCGCTGATTAAAAGAATCATTTGAAAACAAAAATCTAATTACAGGTAATTGCTTGACTTATGACCACAATTGAATCAAAAATTTCTGTTGATAAATGAAACATTTGTTAACTGAATTTTGCTCCATTTACAACCTTTCTTGCCACAGTTGTTAAGTGAATTATTGCAATTGTTAAATCAGTAACATGGCTGTTAAGTAGTTGGCTTGCTTCCCCATTGATTTTGCTTGTCAGGTCACAAAAAGTTATCACATGATTCCAGGACCCTGCAACAGCCATAAATATGAGTCAGTTTCCAAGCATCTGAATTTTGATCAGATGAGTATGGAGTGGCCACAATGGTCATAAGTGTGAAAAATAGTCATAACTCACTTTTTTCGGACTTCTAATGAAGACATGGCCAGCACCTGATATGCCTAGAAAATCTCTTCTTTCTGGACTGTCGTTTTTCCAACTTAACAACAGAAGGAACAGGCTTCCTCTCGTTTATTTGACACTCCTGGATTAGAGAGAGTCCCAGAATCATTCCTCAAGATCCTCCAATAACAGCAACAGTCTGCAAGCAGTTTTAGAAGCCGTGCTTGAAAATAGCTGGTGAGCTGAAGCGGGGGGGGGGGCGCGGCTGAAATCGTTGTTGGACAAAACAGGCATTTTGGAATTTATTCTTCAAATGGGCGATAAGCTGTACACTTCATTTTTTAATCAATTTATGAGACTATTATCTTTATGAGCTAAAAGAGGCTGTCTTTAGTTACAGATTACCATTCCTTTCAAAAAGAAAGAGGGTTTCTGGAGGCAGCCAAAATAGGAAGCGTAGAGTATTTTTTCTTTTGAGATATAAGGATAAAAGTTGTGGTGTTTAATTTACTACTTTTAAAATAATCTGTAGGCCTGTATTGTGTTGTGGTGGTGGTTGAAATTTTCCGATTTTCATGAACTCTGATTGGCTAAAAAAAAAAAGGAAAGGGAAAAAACAAAAAATAAAGAAATAAATAACGTTTTTTGACCACTATAGGGAGCTAGTGATGTTTAACTCTGAGTTGGAGTCTGTCATCAGGGAAATTCTCAAAAATTAGTAATACCATAAATCACTTAGGGTTCAAAGATGATAAATATATAGAGGATATTAAAAAGAATATTATCAACCCACTGTGTCAATCCTACAATTACAGGACAATACAAATAACTAACTGTACCTTTGGAATATAAATCTGATACCAGTTTCTATTATGATGATGATGGCTTGAATATTAATCCTCCCAGTGCAACTGAAACAAGACTGTCAAGTAAATTCACAACTCTTAAGAGGTCAAGTCTTGGATTTTTTACTCATGGATACTAACAAGGTCCAGAACTCTTTGAGAAAAAAAAGATATGATAGACATCTTAGAGATGGAAACTTCATTCTGCGAGGATTTGCTCCAAGTTAATCTACAATGTCTAACATAACAATCTTGGGACATTTTTTATGGATATAAATAAGGCTGAGAACTTCATGAAGAAAAGAGATTTGATAGTCACCCTTGAGAAGAAAAGGATTTCATTCTATGAAGACAAGCTGGATCGAGTGACTTAAATTTAATGATTTAATTAGTTAGGATGGATTTTTATAAGTTTTGATATATGTATTGAAAGAAAGCATTAAGATAGCTTCATATGTATAAAATGAGTTTATAAATGCTGTGACAGCTCTAATGTGGTTTTGTGTTTTGGGTTCTGGGTTTAAAATGAAGAGGGGTTCCCCCCCCCTTTATATATAATACTTTGAAGTTTGAAGTTAGTAAAATATCCAAACTAGAAAAAATGTTTTCTCCCTTTAGGAGAAAAACAAACAAACAAATAAAGTGAAATTATATAGAGCAGTGATGGCGAACCTTTTAGAGACTGAGTGCCCAAACTGCAACCCAAAACCCACTTATGCATCGTCGAGTGCCGGGTGGGTGTGGCCCATTGGGTGGGTGTGGCCCATTGGGTGGGCATGGCTGCGGTGGTAACAGCAGACTGGGTGGAACTAAAAAGTTCAATCAATCAATTCCAACTTTGCAAGATCTCTTTTTTTCCTACAAGAAGTTGAAATGGACTGAACCTTTTTTTTTTTTTTGCACACGGCGGCGGAGACCTAAAGTGAAAAGATTTTATAAAACCCAGCTGAAGGCCTAAGACTGGGGCGATGGCGTGCGTGCCCACAGAGAGGGCTCTGAGTGCCGCCTCTGGCACCCGTGCCATAGGTTCGCCACCACTGATATAGAGGATTCCCTTAACATGAATTATGATAAAGATTAATGAGTCAATATAAGTATATATTATTCCCCACAGCCAAGAGAAGCAGCAATGGTCAAACTAATTCTTTTATCCAAAGAAGAGAATATATCTAATCTTGTTTCTATTTTGAAATTGCTTCCAGATTTTGTGCTTGCAATGAAAAAATAAATGAAATCTTGATTTTGATTTTACTAATTGAATAGGTTTATTGTTATAGAAATGGTTTGTACAAACTGTTGTGTAAAAGTAAAAAGTTGCGATTGTAATGTTGTTATCCTCTACTGTGCTCAGGAGAGTCGGCAGTTGGTGTCTTTTTCCTTTCTTTTCCCCCTTTACATTATCTTTTTTCTCTCCCCCTTCTCCTAGTTTTCTATTACTTTTTTAATTTTATGTTTTGATAAACCAATAAAACTGTAAAAAAATAATTTGCTTTTTTCAGTGATGTTATAACTTTAAATGGTCACTAAATGAACTGTTGTAAGTCAAGGACTACCTGTATTTAAAAGAATTTTTAAAACGTACATAATGTTTTGACTGCTTCTTATATTTGACTTTTTTATACAGACAGTTTCTGAAATGGGGCATAAAAATACTTCGGGAAATATAATGCATAATAATTTTTGTTATTGCTTTACAGGAGACCGAAAGCTGAAGAAGAGATGTACTGTAACACATTTTTGAAACTTAATCACAAAGATATCACTTAAGATGCCTCAAGTCTGATGATATTTGATGCCAGAAAGAATAATGTTCAGTGCAATCAGAACGAACACTTTTTCATGTTTTTGTCTTATTGTCAGAATCTTTATTTTAAAGCTCTTTTAAAATCTAATTATTAATATCCCATGTTTATTTTAGGTAATGGAGAGGGTGTTTGATCTGTCCATGAGACCAATTAAGCTGCTTTTTTTGGTGCTATGTTTTTGGACAAAAAAGAAAGTTATTGTTTTCTTTCATTGGAAACAAAGCTGTACAATATAGAGAGGTCACCAATTGCATTTATAAACCCTTATAAAAGGAGTAGTCAACCTGATACTTTCCAGATGTTTTAGATTAAAACTCCCATAAACCAATAGTTAAGAATTATGGGTAGTATTATCAAAATTCATGAGGGTATCAGGTTCTTTCTACCTGGTATAAACTGTCACTGATAAACCAATAAAACGTTGCAAGTAATTACATCTATGCAGAAGACACTATGTTATTATTGCTGTCTGTAGCATTGTACTATTTTCCACCAGTCATATCCCTTTGTTATCAAAATACAAATTTATTCAATTTGGATTATGGTGGCATATAGTGTAAATACATAAACATTCAAATTGCTTTAGTAATTTAATTTGTCTAGAGTCTAAGCCATTTAATCATTGCATTCTTTACTGCAAGTGTTCTTTAGGATAGGAGGAAAGCATGTCAGTGAGACCTTGGCAGTTATGTTAAAATTTAAGTTTATCAGAAAAGTCAAGCAGTTGTTGGCCTCAATCAATTAAAATAAATAATTTTAAAATAATTTTAAAAAGCAATGGACATTTTAAACTATCAATGAGAAAGATATCAACCGAACTGGCCCAAATCTCAGACCTCTACTTTATAGTGTCAATTTACCTTAAATAAAAAAGTGCCACTTAATGGTTGTTTGGTTCTTGGGGTTTCTTTGGGGGAGGGTTTGTTTAATTTTTTTTTAATGCACTGTTTTATCTTTTTTTTTTTTTTTTGGTTTTAAAAGCACAATCACTAAACTTTATTTGTAAAACATTGTAACTATTAATAGTTTTTGTCTTACTGTAAGATGCTAAGACTTTGTGTTCTTTTTTCATACTTTGTTAATGCTCTGTGTTTGTATTGGAAATATTTGAATGCTTCACAGATGTTAAAGGTAGCAAAGCTTAAGAATGGACCAGAAGCAGAACTTTATATCATCTTAAGGATTTTAAATTCTTGAGTTTGTGGTGGCTTATCTTGACATTGAATTTCCACAGAAACAGAAATAGAGCCATTAGTTCCTTTTGAAATTACAGGATGATGTCCTCTGTAGATTTTTATTATCTTTTTTGTAATTATAAATATATTTTTTGTCATCAATGCTAATGGAAAACTGTGTATTTGTTTATGGACAATTTTCAGGC